TATATTTCCAACGGCAACAATGGCATTGTCACCTCCCAAATTTTATGCACCAGGAATTGATCCTGCCTGGGTCCCTCTCCTGTCCTGTCACAGTTAAAGGCTTGGATGTGTCCTTTAATCTCTCAGGATTTCAGGTTGTTGTTGTTCTGGGGTCTTTTCAGGTGTTTGTTTGTTTGTTGTTTTTGTCTATAGATTGACAGCAGATGACCTATAATAAGTACCCTCTGTTCCCCCCACTCCCCCCCCAGCCCCCCGTGGCTTCTGCCTTCAAAATTACTCCTGAAAGCTGTTAACTACTTCAGGAAACGCTATGAACAGGTGTAGACAGCTCCTGCCCCCTCAGAGGGTCTTCCTGGGTCTTAGAGATCTGCCTGTGCTACTGAAATTTCAACACTAGTAGGAGACAGCTGACTAGGGATCGCATCAGGAGAAGGATGGTTCACTGTAGGTACTTTTCCTATGCCTCTGTTTTGCTTTTCCTAAAGCCTCTCCCAACATAATTTCGTTAGGAGAACGTGCATTTTCAGGGCAAAATCCTCATGGGAGGTAAATCATTCATGAACAAATTTGGGCGGATTTTATCACGTCCAAGGTGAAAGGCGTGACGACAGGTCTCAGAGCCCAGAAAGGAGAGACATTCGGTTCCTTTTAATTCTGAGAACATGCATGATAACCCAGGGAACTTCCTGAGGTTCTCCATTGGGCCAAATTGGAGCCCAGTATGCAGCTGCCAGACCCTATTTTTTGTTCTGAGGAATGTGCTTTGCAGTTGACACTCTGGGGAGCAGGTTAGTCCTTTGGAACCTCTTTTATCTGTTTGAAACAGGGATTTTTGGTTCTTCTGATGACAGTTCCTTAGAAATAATGCCATGGTATTGTCACTTGGAGTGGAGGAGTTGGGGACAAAGTATGCAGCCGTCCCAGTGGTAGTCAGAGGCTGTTGCATTTGTTCTTATAAAAGGTTTCAAAACAGATTTGTTTCTCACTTCTCAACTGCAATTGATGCCACACTTATGAAAGCTTAAAATACCACCTTCCACTGCAAATTATATGCCAGTGGGCATCACTGTGACTCTGGATGCTTATTAGGCCATTGAAGGAAACTCGGCCTCCTTCATTCATTTCTTTCACTCTTTGAAAATCTCCCCAACAAATGCAAATTCTTTTCCAGCTGGCTTATAATTGAACTGAAACTCACCTTTAATGCTGCTCGCACTGTCCTTAGTGACATTTCTTGCTTTACTGTGCTCTGAAACGCAGCCGTCTCGCTAGGCCAGTGCCCAAGGGCTGCTGAAGTTACCAAGCTGTTCACTAGCAGGCAGGGAGACCACCAGGAATCCACCAGGGCACAGAGGCAGCTGGAGTAGCACACGCTATCAGAAGGATCCCCTGTCAGTTTGCCTTTCCTCTTTGAATTTCAAAAAGTACACCTCCAATACTGTATTTACACCTCCACAATATTCTGTGATGTCCATAGAAATCTTTAGTGCTTTGTATATGTTGGAATCCGTCAAGAAGCTCTACTCCCAGAAGAGTGAAACATTAATCAATACTATGAAACACAGACGTTCTCTAAATTATTCTTTTTCTATGGTCAGCTTTCCTGCCAGTCCATGTTTCCTGGCTGCTTAGTTCTAATACAATATTTGGCACATGGTAGGTGTTCAATAAATGTTAGCTAATAAATCAAAGAAATATACAGTTAGCCAAACAGAGGTACCACCCAGATATTCTTTTTTCACCTCAAACCCAAAAGTCAGTAGGCAATAAGTGAGGTCCACCAGCCAAACTTGCTTTGATAATTCTTGACCCTGCAACCCCAGGTGAGAAGGGAAAGCAGTCCAGACAAGGGCAAGAGGAAAATGATGGTCCGTGTCACAGTTGATGGAAAGTATCTTGACCTATTCCCATTATGAACACAATCCCCATCCCAGTGTCACAGATATGCCTAGAGTGGTCACACCAGTATGCAGCTGCCATACTGTTTTCCATTGCTCTTTACTCTTTTTACTTAGCAGACTGGATCACTGCATGGGATGAAACATGACAGGAATATAAAGCCTTTGAAGGATCTGCTTGTCTTTCTCTAGTAGTCTACATGCTAAAAACCAATGATCATCATCCTGGACATTAGCTATGAACTGAAACATGGCTTTGCACCATGCATTCTGGGGGGAAGATAATCTCATTCCTGTTTGTCTTGACTAATAGAATACTAATGGCTGAGAAGCCTTCTCCAGGTCTCAATATTTGTGATTTGAAAAGGCGGGGGGAGTGAGATGTACATACTTCCTGCATCCCATGCTACAACACAAAATAAATACATGTCTAACTGTGTGTATGCACAGTGTGAGTTATGTGATTCAACCAAACAAGGGAGTGACATACAGTTCCCAATTTTTCTTATTGTCTTTGGTTCATGTCTTTAAACATGTCCAGAAGGGCATGACAAGATTAAAGCTTTGAAAACCTTACCATAGAAGGAAGATCAGAAATAGATTCTACTTATCCCAGAAAAAGGAAAGAACTAAAGGGGATTGGTGACTGCCTCCAAATACTTGAAGACAGTGATCTGTTCTGTGTGGTCCCAGGTAGGAATGCTACAAATGATGACTGGAGCTCCCTAAGAGGCATTTCCAAACCTATATAAGCAATAACTACACACCAATGAGCTGCCCTGAGATGATGAGTCTCTCAATGCAGGGGATTTCAAGGGGGAGTTTGATGATTGCTCCTCAGATGGTTACCACCATGTGTCTTCCCTCTAAGACTCCTGCAACCTAAGATAATATCAAGTGGCATAGATGATCCATAGGCAGCAGAGCAAACATTTGCACTAAGTGCTCATGAGGATGGGCATAAAGACATTCATGTGGAACGTGTTCTCTCTCTCTTGCAATTCATTTGAGATGCTCCTTAGAGAACATGGGGTAAGAGCCCAGCTGGTAGGGTGTGGGTGGCCATAGGTGGGAAAAACTCAAAGACAGAAATGGACGGTTGGATAATGTGGTTATTAAATAATCCTGCCTGAATAGAGGGCATACTTCAAGAATAAGAGGAGTCAAGGAAAACTGGGTCATCAATAAACAGTGGAGCCACATAAAAGGATAGAAAAACAATACTATTTTAGTGTTGAGCTATTAATCCCATGAATAATGATAGCTATCCTCACTCCTCACCCCATGGAGTGGTATCCTAACCAACTTTAATTTTTTTTTTCCTGGTGCTGAGAATAGAAAAGGTAAGTACAATCCATGATGTTCTCATATATGCTCCCAAGGTCTGGATTCAGTACATATCTTTTTACTGATTTTCAGATGATTATTTGGGGCTTCGATATACTCTGAAATTAATTTTACTATATATGCCCTTTCTCTTAATTTTTGAAGCAACAACTATTTTCAATATAATAAATTGTTACCAGAGATTTTTTTCAATAAAAGATCTTTTACTGACAAGAATATACTGTAAATGCCTTTTCTCCCTAAAAGAAGTCCACATCAGTTTGTGGTGCTGTATTGTTGTTTTTCAAATTTTCCCATTAAACTAAAAGACTAATTTCCCCTTGAGATAGTTATAACAGGAATTAATTCTTATTTACTATTTCTGAAGAAAGACATGATCCTGTATGTCAAATCATCCAAACCATATAAAGTTTAGGTGGAGGAAAATTTAAATATATTCTCATTGGGACCATGATGTCTTAGGTCCATAAACAGCAATTCCTTTTCTCTGAGATCTGGTTTATACTTTTCTTTTAAAAAAAATCCCTTCAAGAATAAGTCTAAAGCCTAAAAAGCTAACTTTCTTATTCTAAGTTCAGAAATGAAAATGAGGCGACTCGACAATATTAAAATGAAAACCCACCAAGGCCCCTGTTCAGAGGCCTTCAAGGAAGATCACATTCCACAAACATGCACTCAGTTTTTTGCTTGAACATAATAGCATTTTCACAGGATAAAGGGTGTGTTCAAACCAGGCTCAAGCCAGAAAAATATCTTCAAAAACACCCTCTGGCCATTGAAGTAAAATTACTTTTTCAATGGGAAGGAAGTTCCTTGTTGGTTTTGGACATTGACTCTTACAATCATGCCATGTGTAGTTGCTAAATTATGACAATCAAACTATATTCTAAGAAGGCCCCATTTGGTAAAACATCAATCTCTGCCCAGACCACCCGACTGCAAAGAACCAGTTATTGATTGACAAAAGAGAAAGGAGTGAATTTAGTAATTTAGAGAAACTACCTCACAAGCCCTTCTAAAGCCAGATCAAGTAATTGGTAAGTCCTTTCTCTGGTGCAATAGTGATCTTCACACTAGATCTGAACATATAGACCTTTTTTTGCCACCAATTCACCTCACCATTGCCCACAGTTTGTTTATTATTAGAGAACCAGAGATGTTCAAGGGCATCCCTAGGGTCTGATCATAACTCAGAAACAGAGGTAAGATGCCTTCTGCAATGGTCAGCCCTATTTTCCTCGCCTAGCCGAAGAGCAAGTCTCGAGTGTGCTGGTATAGAAAAATCATCCATTTTGAAATGGAAAAAAATATGTATGGAGAGAAGGGGGAAAGTGTGGAACAGCAGAGAGCTGGTAAAAATCATCACCTCCTAAGTAGAAACCCTTTAAGAGGTAGTTAACTTCGGAACTAGCTGAAGAGGGTGAAATATTAATCTCCTCTTCACTCCTGGGTAAAATTTACCTCTAAAGTTTCTAATTTCAACTCTAAAAATATTTCATTAAAAGGGAACTTTCTCTACCATGAAAATTTGGGGGAAATGAAAACAACTGTATGTGATGTCCTCCGTCTGGTCTTGGGTCCTGACCTGCCTAGAATTCCCTCCCAGCCCAAGCCATTGTGGATTAGGAAGTGCCTGTGACAACAGCGGGCTGGAGGAGGCTTGGCACAGATGCATTGGCGAGGCCGGGCTGGGGGAACTGTGCACGGGCAGGTGGCAGATTTCTGATCTCCAGTTTGCATTGATCTTACATTTAGACACAGATTCAGAAGAACAGACACTCCCTTTTCCAGTGCCTTCGGAAAGATTGCCGCTCCGTAGAATGAGTCCTTTCTCCTCCACCCTAAATCTACAGCCCAGCTTTCCCGGGAGATCCTACTTTGATTTCCGATCCTCACCCCACCAGCTGAGCTTGCATTCCTCCTTACAGTCTCTCAATGCACCGGGTGAGCTGAGCTCCTCTGACCTTTGCTCTTGATTGATCTCTGTGCCTTGAAGGCATCTCTGAAATAGCTGTTTTGTATTTGCCATTCATGTGCGTGGAGCCGGCCATGAGCGAGTCTCGATGTTTGTGGCCTGCTTTGATATGAGGGGCACCATGGAGCTTTGTGGTGGTCTTGTTTGTGTGGTGTGAGGATGCCTTCCCCCCCCCCCCCCCCCCCCGCCCTCTTCTCCCCCCCCCCCCCCCCCGCATCGAGTTGTGGTCAATGTACAATGGCATTAGAAAGCGATGAGTGAAGTTGTTCTTTTTGCACAAGCTGGTACCACCATGGACAGCCTGCTCTGGCATCATATGCAGTGGCATAGCACGGCACAGGAGCTGGCTGAGGGGAGGCCTTAGAGGTTTGTAACCCTGCTGTATCCAGGAAACCAGCTCTGTCTGGGGCACTGGATCAGTGCATCCTGCCTGTAGTGGTCTGATTAAACATAGACTCAAGAGATCTTTATTGAAAAAAATAAGACAAAGCAACACCAACAGCAGAATGCATCATACAAATAAGCAAACCAGAGGGTAGAAAGTAAAAACATTTTCTGCAAAAGCCTGTGCTCACTGGTAGAACAGTTGGGCTCAAGGCTGGGTTTTGGGTTGTTGTTTTTTTCCAAGCAAAGGGGAGGGACCACCACTAGCTGAATTAGAAGCCCTTAACTAGCTTAAGGCCCAAAGATCTGAGTCCTTGAAAAGTCTGGCCTCCCCAGAGGTTTCCCACAGCCAAGCAGGTTGTGATAGGGCTCTAGGCTGACTGCAGGAAAGCTAGACCTGTGCTACCATGCAGTGAACTGTCTAGCAAGTAGAAACTTTAAACATCTACGATGCAGACCTATTTGATCTCTTCAGGACTATATTGTAATCATGGAGACACGTGATGCACATTTCACATTTCCAAAGGTTTCTTTTGTTTCTTATTTTATTCTTTTTGCTCATCCCACATCCTGGAATGAAGAAGACCACAGCATGACAGTGCAAAAAGGATGCAGGGACTTCAAGCTCTCTTTAAAATGACATTTTTCTTTGTGCTTTTACGTTTCTTATTGTTTTTCTGTGCACTACTGGCTTTCAGACATGCTTTGTTATGGAATTCTTTTCACTTGTGTCTAATGTACTGGAATACTGTAATAGTCTCTGTAATGTATATTGTCTCAAGAATAAAATGAAATGTGGGTTTCGGGGTAATTGATGGCTGTTTGCACTGTTCTAGTTGTATCGTTGAATCTTGAATGTTTGACAGTGTGTTTAAAGTAGTGTAAAGAGATTTCACAAAACTTGTTTTGAAAAAGACTTGCACAAAGGCATGATTCATTTAAATGTGTTAAAAGCCCTGTTGAGATTCTACAAATTTATTTCCAAAGCTGGATATGAAATTCGGTTTTAAAACTCCATGTGTTCTCAGGAGAAAATTATTCTTTTGTGGGCAAATTCATTCCAGAATAACCAAAAACAAGTAAGTTCAAAATCTTTAAATTTTGCTTTTAACTTAAGTATTAGTCCTTTCTAAGTTCCCTTCTTAATTCTTCTGAAATTCTTTTAATTCAGTGTATCATCCTTCAATTGTTTTACAAGTTAATATATTAGGGTCTTATAAATTGGAAAAAAATAAATTATCCTCTCTAGGGGATACTCTAGTGCTCATCAAAAACACATTTTCTAAGCAGTCCCTGGCACCACTTTAAATTATAGTTCTCACATCTTTGAACATGTTAATATAAGACTGCTTCCTCCACCCAATGCAACTTCTCATGGGGCAGGTAGGGGTACCAAATCTTAAGGAAAGGGGGTAGTTGGAAAAGTCCCACAGGTGATTCTAAACTATCTCTGAGATCACTCACACCCCCACCATCCACCAATCCCCCTCCTCTTCCTTAGATGCGAAGGATGTAGAAAACAATCTGAGAAGAAGATGAGGCCATTTTTATTATATTTCATTCATGTCATTATTAATAATTATCAGATGTATTTATTAGCATATAGATTACATTTCCCATTTGGTTACATGCGTATCATTTAACTTGGGCCCAGTCACAACAAAGGCCTAACCCGAGCTAGAAGTGCATGGAATAGTGATGTAGAATGGAGTTTTCTCAAGATCCGGCATTTTCTCCCATTTCAATGGGATGAACTTTTCTCATTTCTGAACAGTAATCCTTCTTAATGTGGAAACCTTAGTGGAAACGATTGAATTTGAAGAAGGAGAAAATTTAAGCTGTACAAATTAGAGGAATATTTATTAAATGGGAAAAAAGAGGTACTTCTTATTTCAAAAAAGCAGGAAAGCAATCTTGACTCAGCAAATAAACTAACATAAAAGGGCTTTGGTTTTTCATGAATCAAGCCTCTGGTGACTTTATTCAGCAGGTGCTTTTTAAGTGTAAACAAATAATTATTATCAACGTGGTTGTTGTTTCATAGCTTTGATGTGTAGTATCTCTTTATAGGATGCAATTTTGAGCCACAATCTGCACCTTACTCTCAATTAGGCAAGTATACCTATTGTAATTGTTATCTTTTACCTATGTGATTGGTATGCTCAATTTCCTTCACAAAATAAATGGCAATAGCTTCTTTTATGTCAATAAAATTGTCTAATTGTCATTCAAATACCATTATAATAGCTTCTCAAATATTTAGAAATATGGAAAAGATACCTGTATTTTAATTTTATACCTCAAATAATACTTTTCCTGACCAGTTTTCTTACGTATACATCCGTGCAAAGCACTCTTTATGAACGCTAAGTGTGGGTAAAGATAGACCAACTGTTATGGTGTTCCTAGAGTTTAAAATTGAGCCCTTTTTTGGTATTAGCCTATGAAAAGAGCTATGTTTTCTTATCAATGTCAATTTTGCTTCCTATTTCTCTCCCCCATGCCTTTCACTTGGAATGACAACAGTTGACATTAAAAAGCTGTTGGCAGGTATGAAATAAACTTATTCTGTTACAAATAGTGAAGGCCACAGTGCCTGTGAGGTGGCTCACAGGTTCCATAAGTCAGCAGTGACTTCCCTCTAGAGTGTGTGATCGACAGGCGGCATTTAGAGCTCGGGGCACAGCAATGTGGACAAAGACGTCATTTTATCTGCACCTCGTGTCCCAAATTCCTCCTACAAACTGTATGTTTAAGTTATGAAGGACGCAGCCTGCCTTGTGTCCACATCACAAGCACTCAGGAAAATCCGTTCATGTCTCTGAGAGCTTCGCAGCTTTCTGAGCTTTCACTAGCACTGAGGACATTTTAAAAATGACTAGATTTATGGAGTTCTGCGAAGGAATGTTTCCTGGTTTCACAGTGTGTTTATCCCTCCTCCATCTAGGGCTCTAGATCCTAGCCTCCCTGCCTCAGGGCCACACAGGCATCTTAGCGCATCCCTCTCACCTTATGTCTCTGGTGTACTGTCTGCCAGTCACTGGGTGAAGGGACTTGCACCTTCCAAAATCGATGCCACTCCACTCCCGGATCACCTGGTTGGGAGTGCAGTCTGAGCCAGGTAACCCCTGCTAAATCGGTCGGGTGTCCTTCCATCGGCTTCTGGGCGCTGAGAGTCCCAGCCCCCTGGATGTGGCCCCTGTCAGCTCACTCACGGCCCCTTCTGGCCCCGGACGCCTCCCTCCTGCATGGCAGCATGAACATGGAACACGGCGCCCCTCAGCCACCCAGGAGCCTGGTATGGTGTTGGGCTCACTGGGTCCATCTCGCTAACCCTACTCCTTTCTCTTGTTCCCAGTGGCCTGGTTTGCTTTTGACCCCGGCTCAGCACACTCGGACATCATCTTCTCCAACGACAACCTGACTGTGACCTGCAGCAGCTACGATGACCGGGTGGTACTGGGGAAGACCGGCTTCTCCAAGGGTGTCCACTACTGGGAGATAACTGTGGACCGCTACGACAACCACCCCGACCCTGCCTTTGGCGTGGCTCGCATCGACGTGATGAAGGATGTGATGTTAGGAAAGGACGACAAAGCTTGGGCAATGTATGTGGACAATAACCGGAGCTGGTTCATGCACAACAACTCGCACACCAACAGGTACCCTGCAGCCCCCAAACCAAGCCTTCTTCACGTTGGCTTCTGGTCAAGAACGAGAGCCCAAGTTCAAAGACCTATTAAGTAGACAACATTAAGGAGGCCGAGGTCGGGCAGTAGCGCAGGAGTTCTACTAGTCTTAACTGAGAACATCCTGGTGGGTATTGTGTTTGCTTGTTTGCTCACAGAATGGCAGAGACATAGCTCTTTCCTAGGCCCTTCATTGTAATATTCCACCCGTGGCGGGAAACTGAGAATCCCCATGCGCACCCATGACAGGACCACATTCCAGGATTCTAAAATCTAGTCCCACTTCACAGAAAAGCCATTTGGACAAGTTAGTTTTTCTAAACCTCAATTCTTAAATCCACCAAATTAGGATATTAGTATTTTCCCCAAGGTTAAATGGGATGTGCCAAAATGCCTACATCAGAGGCATCTGAAAATAGAAGTTATTGTTTCTCTTCTTATGATTATTGCCAATACCACTGCTCAGAAGAGAGGCCAGTTAATAAACTAAATCTTGTGGATGCCAATTTGGATAGCTTTGTACTTGAAGAAGTCCCTTATAATTGTACAGATTCAGAGCACCCAGTTTGGTGGGAAAGGAGAACATAGTAATTCCTTGGGTTTTTCTCTACCACCAAAATGTAAGCCCACACTGTAACAGTTTTAACCCCCCACTGTAACCGTTTTCCTAGACTTCCTCTTCATTTGGTTCGTGTCTTCTTCCTCAAATGTATTTTTTATGAATTTCCTAGATAAATATCTTTCATGGACCCTGGTCCTTTTCATTCACAATGATTTCCCCAGGATACGTTCTCATTGGTGTCTCTGAAAAAAAAAATCGGTCTGATCAAAAGGAAAGTGAGTGAGGCAGTGGTAGGACAGTGGCCTCCACTGTTTCAGCCTTTTCTACATGCTCATCGCAGCCCCTTCTCTAGCCAGGGTCTCCCAGGGCCTCCAATGCCTGTTCCCTTGGATGTTTTCTTACACCTCATGCTGGTGTGTATTACTCACTACCTCTCCAAGTGAGCACGCATACCATTTCAGCCTGCTGTCCAACCCGATTAGGTGCAGCTGAGTAGTTTTCTTCAGTGATCTACATTTTGGGGGAACCCTCTGTCACTGGATCTCTGAATCCACCACCCACGGACCATGCTTCCCTTTCCCTTTTAGCTTCTTTATTTTAAAGTGAAGGGGTGAATAATGACCACTGTCACACTATGCACAGAAACACATTCTTAAAGCTGAACACGCCTGCTTGCATGCAAATTCGTGTCACTTGTGCTGTCACTGTTGAAGGTGTGAATACAAGACACAATTTATCAACCTGTCTTTTAACAGCCATGTGTAGTCTGTGTTCTGCATGCCAGAGGGAAAGACCAGCACTCTTGCATTTCTGTGCTCTGCCGAGAGGAGGGTGAAATTAAATACTGCCAGACCTCAGCGAGGGGAAGTGGCCAAGCTGCTCATCCATGCTAAATGGTGTTTGCAAAACCATCCACTGAAGCATAAGACCCAGTTCACTGTGAAATGACATTTGAGTTCAGATTCTTTAAACTCACTCCGTCTCCTACAGGCGAGAGCGCCCTTCTTCGATGTTGCCACTTTCTAGAGAGCCTCCAACTTCTCAATGCAGACTCAACATGCCAAAAATGACCATCTTTCTGGAATGAGTTTTTTCTATTTAATAGGGAGCCTAAGGCCCCAAATCCAATTTTTCATGCATATGTTTAAATTTGGCTTAAATTCTTCTCTATTTTGATTTTTAAATTAAGTCCCTCTCAATTAAATGATGTTGAATCCACACCTCTGTGCAGAGTGTCGGACACAGCTGTGGGCAGAACTCAGAGGGCCCAACGGCTACTCTCTTTCATAGTCTTCGATGCTTCGAGTCTCGGTGGTGGTGACCCTGTGTGAGTGAGGTCACTCCAGCAACAGCAGGGCGGCGCTGTTGAACCCATCCGTACTCAGCACAGGCCACACTTCCCCAAGGGCGTGAAAATTGGTTTGGGGGAGTAAGCAAAAAACCCTTCCCTTTTAATATATAAAACACAGATATGCGTCCACACATAAATAAAAACACAGTGTATCTGTGATATTAACAGTTCGTGTAAAGAGGAGCGATTAAAGAGGAGGGGCCTGTTTTAAAAGGCTCCCGGGAGGGAGGAGACGCTACTTGTAAGCAAGTCAAGGAACACTTAACCATACAAATGGGGAGCTCCCAGCATGATGGCAGGCCGGGGAAACCCAACTGCTTTTTGTTGTTGTTTTCACAGAACTGAGGGAGGGATCGCGAAAGGGGCCACCATCGGGGTCCTCCTCGACTTAAACAGGAAAACCTTGACATTTTTTGTGAACGACGAACAGCAAGGGCCCATTGCCTTCGAGAACATGGAGGGCCTCTTCTTCCCGGCAGTGAGCCTGAACAGGAACGTGCAGGTCAGCACCGCGCCGTGAGTGCAGACGCGGCTTCTGCTCGCTCTGCTTCTGGGCTGCCCATGGGCGGGCAAGTCCACCCCCGAGAGAGGGAAGCTGACCACGTCAGGTCCAGACGCAGACAGGCAGGAAAGGAGGAGGAAAAGGGGTCAACATTGACAACTGACATGCTCCGGAGCCAACCTAAGCCCCTTCGTTCTACTTGGACACAGTCTAGTAACAGCAAGTGGGAAACCGGAATTCTATTCGTGGTTTGCTAATGATTGTCCCTCTGAGCCCTGGTTTCATCTTTAGTGGAAATGAAACTCCTGGGCCAGCTGGCACAAAAACAAGTGCCTCGCGCAGTTCCATCAGTGCCCAAGAGAGGGTGTAAGACTGGACTATTAGCATCATTATCAGAAATTTTGAGCATCTTCTCTGCACTCTTACTTGATTTATGGGGATGGACAACAGTCCCTGCCCAAAAGTAGTTATTTCCGATTTATTGTGAATAGAAAAACAACAGATCCTTCTCATTCGTTCATTCAACAAATATCTGTTGAGTGTCTTTACTATGTGAGGCACTATTATAAGTATTGTTCATCAGCAAAAACAAAACAGACGAAAATCTTGCCCTCATAGAGCTCACATTCTAGTTGTAGGAGACAGACAACAAGTAAGCACAGTTACCATGTTCATTACAGAGTGTGTGCGAAGGCAGCAAGTGAGAGGGAGCAAAGACCAAAGGAGGGGAAGGGGATCAAGAGTGCTGGGGTTGGAGGGTGTTGCGGTCTTAACCAGGGTGGTCAGTCACAGGTGAGCTGAGCCCTGAAGCGGGTGAGGGAGGGAGCTGTGTGGGGCTTTCCAGGCAGAGGGAACAGCCAGAGCAAAGCTTCTAAGGCCTGAGGGGCCTCACCCAGACAAGAAAAGGCCACGGGGGCTGGAGCAGTGGGAGAAATGATCAGGAAGGGGTGGGCCGGGCCAGCCACCGCTAGGACTTGGGCTTTCATTTCCCTCTTGAGCTGGAACTCTCATTGTCAGTGTGAATCTCACTCAGCAAATGGCTACCTTAAGATAGGGCTTGAGAATCAAAACACTGCAGATAATTTTTGCTCTACTCAGAGCCATAATCTTGGGAGCTACTTAAAGAATCCAGTGTTGTCTATCAGGATGTACAGTAGAAGTGATGCCAGCCCAGTGACCTCTGCCCTCCTCTCTTCCTGCAACTAGCTGAGTTTTTCTGGGAGGCTGAAATCTAATCTATCAAGCTCAGCCTCTACATTGGTAAAAGGAAACCATAAAATACCCTAGAAGTGAGCCTGGGAAAACCTCATTCAAAGTTTTCCACAGTTTTAGCTGCTCTGAGTATCTTTAGATCAAGACTCTTGGGCTGGGGAAGACGAGGCCACGAACGGGAACGATGGCGGTGCTGTGCGAAGTGGATCTAGCCTTGTCCATGGCGGTATGAGGTTGGACAGAAATCAGTGAAACAGCATTAAGTGCCCATATTTCTTCACACCCGACAATCATCTATGCAACTCCCAAAGGAAAGGCTTATCCTCATTGGAATAACTAGTGGGCAAGTAATAAAGGAAGGGTTGTCTGCTTATCTGTTCTCTAACCATGGGCTTGGCAATGATCACTACCATGTGGCCAACAGGCTTTGCTACCTGCAGATCAATGCCTGGGTTTTTAGTCATAAGAAACACAACCTCTCCAGAATCTTAACATGAGGACCATAGTATCAAATGTCTCCAGGATCTGGGAGCCCACCATGATGACCAGGTTCCTAGCACAGGCTGGATTCTACTACAATTCTCTTCAACGTGTTCTAGGGTACGGGTTAAAGAAGAGTGGCCAGATCCCTTTTGAATTAGGAACACACCCACTGTGCCCGGGGAAGGAGGGTGCAGGGGGCGGGGGGCGGGGGCAGGGTCCTGCCTGTGCCTCCAGGACTCACAGTCTCTTCCCCCAGGTCACACTGCACACCGGGCTCCCCGTCCCTGACTTCTACTCCAGCAGAGCATCAATAGCCTAAGGATGGGCTGTGGAAGCGCCAGCTGCCTACTCTTCCCTCCACCTGAGAAGCAACTACAAGGAGCTCAGCCAGAGTGTGGTGGGATGCCAGAGAGCTGGAAGGAGAGGGAGAAGGAGGAGAGCAAAGCTGGTCCTCTATGCTCGTTACACCCCACAGCTCCGCCCCTTCCCTTCCAACCTCTCTCTTGCTGTAATGCCTGCGTTCGCTCCCATGTTCAGCAATTCCAACCAGCGAAGGACCCAGACGGCCCACGTGTCGCTTCGTTTCCTCTCTCCGATTTTGCTTTTAGTTAACTTCATTTTTATGTAGGTGAGTGACATTGTGTTTCCCTGCTGGTCGTGTTATCAGTGACACATGGAACTGGCCCTGCCAAGAGGAAATTCCCCTGATAACTTGTTTTCTTAAGCTTTCTGTCAGAGGTTGTAGGGAGAGATAGGGAAGAAGGAGCTGAATTTGGAGCCTGCAGTTTACCTCCTAGAATGTCCTTGCCCTGCTACCCCTCGTGCAGTGTTCGCTCCGCATAGCTGATCTTTGAGGGGTGGACAGAGTGAAGGCAGCCTTGAAAAGTTTTCCTATCCATTCAAGCACAAAAGGATCAGCTACACAGCTACATCGTGGGTAGGGCCGTTAGGATAGCTGGGTCATTAGGACAGGCCAGAACCCTGGTCATTGAATGAAAACGGAAAGTCTCCAGACATAAGCAGACCAGGGCACTTAACACTTTGGTTCATTTCTTTAACACATGTTTTTGATTGAGAGCCTACGATGGACCAGGCACTATTCTAGACACAGGAGACTGGTGAGTACACAGGTGTGGTCTCTGTCCTCCTAGGAGAACAACCCAAAATAAAATGATAGCAAATTGTTACAACTAGAAGGGAAGTAAACAAGGGAGAGAGAGGCTCATTGGCAAGATCTTTCAAACCCTCTGCCACGATGCTAAAAATCCACATAGTTTGGCCATAGCACCAGAAACATCTCCACTAATGCCTTTTCCACCGTGCTGTTTTAATTAGGGCACCTGCTGCCATTCATCACAGAGCCCTTCCTTAGTAGAAATGATGTCAGCATTCTTATTGGTTAATGCTGCAATGATACTAAGCCTTAAAAATGTATGGGGGGTGGGATAGTGGCCAGAGGAGGTGGGCCCGTCCTCAGTAGTGGGAATCTTGGGTTTCGGGCCATCTTATCGCATTCTCAGGATAAACACACTCACCCCACAAACTACTCTCTGTGCCTGTGACAGATGAACAAATCCATCCCCTCTGCTGCCACTACAACCTGCCTTCCTGGAGCTGTTCAAATAATGTTTGGAAGAAAATGAAATTGTATGCAATTGCTATGAGTGATAGCAAAGTAATAATGCTTGTGACTTCTATAGAGGGAGACTGACATGTAGCATCCCCTTCAGATTCTTTAGTTTAACATGACATTTTAGAAAATGTAGGACCTGGAAAGATGTTCTGATTAGTGGTCTACATATTCTCCAGTGAGCCAAGAAATTCACCATGAAAAAAACAACAACAACACACACACAACAAGAATAACAAATAAAAGGGAAGAGGTAGGATGGGAAAGCTAACAAATTAAAGTTTTGGCAAAAAAAAAAGTAACATATGTAAATAGCTACTGGTTTAGTTTTGTGCTTACCTGATTTAGATTAGTTCTCTCAGTTACAGTTTTTCTAGTCACGTGTACCTAATTTATTGAATGGGTGCTATCCTGTTTCTGTCCGTCCTGGTTTCTCTTGGCTACAGAAAACCTCTGTTGCAGGGCAACTCTAGTTTGATATTTGATTTACTCTCCAAATGAGACTCGATGGCTGGGCCGCTGTAGACTCATAGTTACCCTTGTTCTTTATGAAATTCATCCTGCTAATTAGATTTCTAGTGACTTGTAACATGTAGTTTACACAGAACCGCAAGACTAGAAGCTGCTGTACTAGAAAAAAAAATGATCTTTCTGGTGTGCCAATAAATGATTTTTATGCGAGAACATGATATGTGTCTTTAGAATCTCTTATTTTTTTTGCCTATTTGGGACTGACGATTCGCCTTTGTCAAGGCAACATTTCTTCAGTAGAGTGTAATTGGAAAGTCCCCCGGAGCTCTTGAAAGCACCTGTGATTTACCCTGTTCTCCTGGGCGCTGGCACGATCTCCTGGGAGCACACAACTCCTCAGTCTTAACTTCGAGGGAAGCTTTTATTCAGTGGTTCTCAACCTTCCTAATGCCGCGACCCTTTAATACAGTTCCTTGTGTTGTGGTGACCCCCAATTTCATTGTTACAAATTGAACATAATTAAAGCATAGTGATTCATCACAAAAACAGTATGTAATTATATATGTGTTTTCCGATGGTCTTAGGCGACCCCCAAAGGGGTCGCGACCCCCAGGTTGAGAACCGCTGGTTTAGGTGCAGGTGGGGTCTGCTCCAGCCACTGGGGACTGACTTTAAGGAGCTGCTCCTGAAGAAGCCACAGACTCGTACTGCAAAACAGTGTCGCTGACCTTTTCAAGCCTCGTTCCTTCAACATCCCTTTGAATGGTTATGTGGCTAAATAACACAATTGTTTTTGTGTGCATTCGGATGGCTAAGCAATACGGGTGTTTTTAAATCATTACAACGTTATGGATCTCCTTTGCGTTGTTAGTAGCTTCTCAAAATAAACTGCCTTTGTTCTTCATGAAAAGAAAACATCACCTAAAAGTATGTGATCCAGGCGCTTCAGGCAGGTGGTAGCAGCTGCTGCTCTGCCAGGTTCCTGCTCCTTCCTCTTTTCTCATCACCTCTGCCCCTCCCCCAGTGCTTTTTTCTTCCTCTTCTATTGGTCCCACCTCTCCTCTGTATTTTTTCTCTTTTGTTCACTCCCTAATGGGACACTTTGGCTCGTTTTTTTACCCTTTTCATGGTACTAAG